GAGCTTAAAATGCTTTTTCTCTTTCTCTTGTGAAATGCTTTGGAGGTTCTTTAGTGGCTCCCCAGCATTGGGGCCTTCCTCTGCAGCTCCCTGTAGATAATTTTTATCTGACTTATCAATAATTGAGAGACATATGTTGGAAAATTTTTCAAATTTTCAGATATATATACACATATATACATATATATATATTTGGAATATGTGTTGTGTGCATTACATATTTTGAGGCAATCTGGTATACCAAATTTAGAATTATTGTGGCTTTGTACTTAGCTGAACCATTTTATTATTATAGTGATCCTCCTTTGCCTTAACAATGTTTTTTGTATTGTAGTCTCTTTTATTTGGACTAATGTGAAGTGTTTACAACAGACGTGGCTATCATGGCTTTCTTTTGGTTAGAATTTGCTTCTTCTATTTTCTCTTTCCTTTTTACTTTCAAACTGTCTCTATCCTTAGAGTTTAAATATGTTTATAAACAACATTTAGCTGGTGTAGTTATTTCTGTCATTTTACTGTGTGCTTTCTATTTGCCTACTTTTTCCATGTTTCTTTTTTCCTCTCTATTGCCTTCTTTTAGATTGATTTTTTTTTCTTATTCCAGTTCCCACCTAACAGGATTGAAACTTATATACTCTGTGTGTATTCTTTTAGTAGTTACTCTGAACATTCTACCATGCCCAATTGTGGTAGGTTGCATAATGCTCCCCACTCAAGGATTTCCATGTCCTATTCCCAGAACCTGTGAAAATGTTACTTCACATGGTTCAAAGGACTTTGAAAATGTGATGATGTTAAGGATATTGAGATGGGAAAATTATCTCGGGTTATCTGCGTGGGTCCAATGTAATAACATGAATCTTTACAAGAGGGAGATGGAAGGGTTAGAGTCAAAAAAAAAAAAAAAGGTGGTGTGATGACAGAACGGAGAGAAATACTGAAAGATACCACACTGCTGGCTTTGGGGATGGAGGATGGAGTCCAAGCCAAGGATGCAGACAGTCTCTAGAAGGCAGAAAAAGTAAGGAAACAGATTCTTTTCTAGAATCTTAATCAGGAACACAGATCTGTTGACCCATTTTAGACTTCTGGCTTCCCAAATAGTAAGATAATAAACTTGTATTGGCTTAAACCACAAAGGATGTAGTCTTTGTTATAGCAGCAATTGAAAACAAATAGAGATTTTGGTACCCAGAAGTGGGGTGCTGCTGTAACAAATACAAAAAAATGTGAAAGTGGCTTTGGAATTGAGTAATAGGTAGAGGATGGAAGAACTTTGAGGTGTATGATAGAAAAAATCCTAGATTCCCTTGAACAGACTGTTAATAGACATATGGATGCAAATGATTCTGCCAGTGAGGGCTCAGAAGGAAATGAGGAACATGACAGAAAGTAGAGGAAGGGGGGTCCTTGTTATATAGTGGCAGAAAACTTAATTCAATTGTGTGTCCTACAGTTGTGTAGAAATAAGAATTTATAAGTGATGAAACTGGATATTTGGCTGAGGAGATTTCCAAGAAAAGTGTTAAAGGTTCATCCTCGTCCCTTCTTGGTGATTATAGAAAAATGCAAGAAGAAAAAGACAGATTGAAAAAGTAGTAAGAAAAAAGGAATCAGGACTTGGTGATTTAGGGAAATCTCAGCTTATCCAGATGGCAAAAGATATCAAAATTAGGAGAGTTGCTGTCAGGAGAGCATATCTTGGAGAGAAAGCCAAAAGTATGGTTGGACAACTTTTTGCAAGTAATTTATCTCCTTAATGAAGGCATTATCATTGTTATTACTGGTATTATTTTAAATACTTAATATGATTTAGAATTACTTATATGATTACCAGTTTCTTTCCTTCCCATGCATTCTTATATTTCAGACCTTCTTTCTGGAGTCTTCTTCCTCCTTTCTGGAGTACATCATTAGGAATTCCTTAAGTGAAGGTTTTTTGGTAGCAAACTCAGTTTTCATCTGAAGATATCTTTACTTCTCCCTTATTGTTAAAATTAAGTTTTACAAAGTATATTACTCCAGGTTGACAGTTCATGTGTATCATCCCTTTGAGCATATTTTCTTTTGTCCTATGTCTCCCTTCATTGCTGTGAGAAGTTGGCTGGCAGTCTAATTGCTGATTTTTGAAGGCATTCTTTCTCTCTCTAGCAGTTCATAGGATCTGATCTTTATTACTGGTGTTCTGTAGTTTCACTACAAGGTTTCTAGAAATGAAGTTCTTTTTGTTAATCTTTCTTGATATAGTTTTTGATTCTTAGATATGTTGGCTCATCGGGTCTAAAAAATTCTCAGCTATTATCTCTTGGGATATCACTCCTCTAACTTCTCTCTCCTCTCTTTTAGCACTTCTGTTAGACTCCTTTTAGACTTTCTTATTTTATCCTTTGTACTCTGTGACACTCTTAAATATGCTCAATCCCCTCATCTTTCTGTGCAAGTAAGTCTCTCTTCCAGTTCATTAATTCTCCACTCAACTATGTTTATTCTGCTGTTTAATCCGCCGACTGCATTTTTTATTTAAATTATTATGTTTTCATTTATAAAAGTTTTGTCCCTTTTCAAACTTGGTCAATCATTTGATAGTCCATTAATTTTCAAATTTTTATTTCTTTAAACGTTCTGTGTAAAATAAATTTATATTCTATGCTTAATAATTCCAATATTTATGTTCTTGGAGGTTTAAATCTATTATTTATTATTTCTATAGGCATTCCCTCATGGTGGTTTTTTTCCTCATGTGTGTAGAATTTTTTATTATGAGCCCATATTTTCTTGACCTTAATCTGTGGCAATATTGAGAGGACTAAGTTGGGATGCTCTTCTCCAGGAAAGATTTCTATTTTCTCTTTCTGGGCATGGGTGGAAATGGAGTAGTCAAGGATTACTAACCTGGTACCACTTTAATTAAAACCTGTAACTGTCTTTGGATAATACTTCTCAAGGAATTCTTGGGCGCCTGGGTGGCTCAGTTGGTTAAGCGACTGCCTTCGGCTCAGGTCATGATCCCGGGGTCCTGGGATCGAGTCCCGCATCGGGCTCCCTGCTCTGCGGGGAGCCTGCTTCTCCCTCTCCCACTCCCCCTGCTTGTGTTCCCTCTCTCGCTGTGTCTCTCTCTGTCAAATAAATAAAATAAAAAATCTTTAAAAAAAAATACTTCTCAAAGAATTCTCGAAAAAATTTGTTATTCTTTTCTTTTTCTTCCTTTTTTTATCATCATGGAGACAGATGTCCTTATAGATTCCCTTTGTTGACCAGTGGATTTTTTTCTTCTAGTTTACTTATTTGCTAGTTCTAGCCCCTTCAAAAATTCTAGTTAAATGAAGGGGTCTCAGTTTTATACAAACCCATGGTATGATTTCCTACTCCTCTGTGAGATATAAATCCTTAAAGCTCTAGAATTCTGAGTCTACACTGCCTGCGTTCAAATTCTGTCCCAATCACTTTTTCTGTGACCATGGACAAGTTACCTAACTTCTCTGTGCTTCAGTTTCCTCTTCTATAAAATGGATATTAGTGATAATTCCTCTCTCATAGGATTGTTATAAGGAATAAATGAACTGATATGAGTAAAATGCTTGGAACAGTGCCTGAGCCACAGAAAGTGCTCCAAAAGTGCTTACACTTACTTTGGGTATTGGCATGTGCCCCCATGTTGATTTAAGGCTCACTTATTCAGTTTTAGCTCACTGAACTTTTTTAAAAATGATCTTGAGGATTTAATTTATTTTCTTTCAAGCTGAGCAGCATTTAAAAGAATGTTTGTTATAATTTACTCAGAATCTAGTTTAACTTATTATAATTTACCCAGAATCTAGTTGAAAAGAATGTTGGTTACAGTTTTTCCAGTATCTAGTTGAATAGCCTAGTAGGAAGGCTTTTTTGATGACTTAGTCCCTGTGCTGTGGAGACTGAGATGAAGGGATCATCCCAAAGCAATTTCAAGGCTGTGCCAGGGACCTCAGGTCCTTGAACATTTTAAGCTTTCCAGGAATAGGAAAGGGTTAACATAGAATAACAAAGGGCTGCTTTGTTCTAGGCTCTCTTTAGAGGCATGACCAATAGCCCCACTTTATGCTCCAGTGGAAGACCTCCCCAAAGTGCTCTGACAACTCTCAGTGGAATGGTTACTTTCTTTTTCCCCCTGCACTTAAGCTGTGTACAATTATTATTACAACATATGCATTATTTTACCTCATTCAACCTCAATAAATACTAAATGCATGAATGAACAAGTGAAAGAAAAAGGCAACGGAAAAAATAACATGTATGAAGAATGGGCTCTTTCTCTGATTCAAAAGTAAAGGTGAAACTTCCCCCACAACTTTTCAACATGCTAAATTTTCAGGAACAAGCCAATTGATCAATACTGTTTAAAGACATCAAGGTAAATAACTGAACAAAAAGCAAAAGCATTAAAATTGGTTGCTTCTGGGGAATGAAACCAATGATAAGGTGAATCAGTGATCTACTGTTCTTTAAAAACCCTCTGTACTATTCGATTTTTTACTATGTATATCTTTTCTTAAATATTTATTTATTTATTTATTTTAGAGAGTGAGAGAGCATGAGCAGGAGGGGCAGGGGAAAGGGGAGAGAGAATCTCAAGCAGACCCCATGCTGAGCTCAGAGCCCCACGTGGGGCTCGATCCCACGACCATGAGATCACTACCTGAGCCGAATCCAAGAGTTGGACACTCAACCAACTGCGCCACCCAGGTGCCCCAGATTTTTTTATGTATATCTTGAAAAAAAATGAAATATTTAAAAACAAAGATTAGCCAATTTTGGACCTGCTGTAATTCAAAAGCACCCAGTAGTACATCTGACTTCCTGAGGTTTAGCACAGTCTTTTTTTTTTTAATTTAATTTAATTTTTTAATTTAGTGCCCAAAGTCCCAATTACCAAAGAGTGGTTGACCCAAAGCCAAGTTGACAAATAAACAGAATTCTGAACTTTAATAAGGCAATTCCAGTGGACCTAGACAGAGCTGAGTAAGCCTACTGACTGGTGCCAGAAAATAGCTGTAAAGGAACTATGTAAATCAATTAACTCCATGGTTTTTATGGAGATCTCTTGATACCAAATCTTCTTTCTTTTCATGCTTCTCTGATCCTGCGGAGATGAAAATTGACATCCATAGTCATATTCTACCAAAAGAATGGCCAGATCTAAAAAAGGTAATGGTGATTAATCTGCTGAATTATTTCTGGACCTTCTCCAGGGTTTCTCACTGCCTCTATTACAGATCTATCTCTTCTTTGGGGAATTAGATGTTAAGTTTCTCTGCTCTAGGGGTGATTTAAAATTATTTGGTAGCTCTGATTTTCCAGTTTTTTAAAATTACTTTTATATTTATTTTGAAAGAACATTGATCAAAGAAGTAAGTGCCTTCTCAAAATCCCCTTTTCCCCTCAAATGAAGCATTCCCTAAAATTTCTGGACAATTTAAGTCAGGCAGTTTTACTTCCATTTAAATCACATACTCAGCTGCTGGGAAGATACGTGCCAACTACAGAATTTAAAGTTACAGTTTCAAGTAAAAGACTATTAAAAAAATGGAATGTGATAGGCTTCCAGGACTTCTAAAACACATCTCCTTTCCAAAATGTTTAAAATAAGTTTTAGAAGCACCAAGAGATAGCTTTGTGGAGTTTTTTTTTAAGTCTATTTTAGGACACTGTCTGAAACCTTTCCTTTTGATGTTCTTTAAGCTGTAAATTCTTGTTATGAACTAGAGAGTAGGAACATCAAAAAAACCCTAGAGAAAATGACATGAAGCCTTTGTACAATGAGTGTCTCTTTCTCTGTGTTTCTCAAAAGAGGGAAATTTCCTTTTGTCATTAAGAACTTTTGAATGAATACTAAAAGAAGGAGGTGGGGAACATGAAGAAATCTATAATTGGTTTGAGCTTTATTCAGGCTAAGTATCAGGTTTTATCCAATCTTCAGCCTTCTCTGGTATTTTCATGCCACTAATAATGTTTCATCTTTTTTATCCCAAGTGAGGAAAAATGAATTAACACAAACTCTAATTAAAATATAGTTTATTGTGCAAGTAAGTGAAACTATTTTCTTCTCATAATTGTCTCCTGGAAGAATGTTAATCTTGTTTCTTTGTCTATTGGTACTTCGGGTAAGGTGGATAGTAGACATTGTAGACTAAAAAATACATATGATGCTGAACCATCTTTAGTACCTGCTCTAACAGGAAAAGGCTTTCCTGTTAAAGCAGGTACTAAAAACTAACCGCACCAACTGACCCCTCCAGGAATCTAACTGCTTACATAGGAACTTGCTGTTCTAAATGCTATTGTCCTCATCGTGTTTTATTAAAGTGTAAACACCACTTCACAAGGTTAGTGATGAAGACCCAGGGCAGCCTAAAAAGGTGCCTCCTCTTTGCTAAAGGGAGAAAACTTTCTACCTAGTATCCTGTGCCACAACTCCACCTCCTATTATCTGCCTCCCACCTGGAAGCCTGCCTCCAGTTTGAGCAGAGAAGTTGTCACCAAGAGCTGACAATTTCTAGGTGCCCCGACCCAATGCAGGGTCCTAAAGGCATTGTTAAAACTGCTTAAGACGCTGAAAGATGCAGAGCTTAGGGAGGCTATAACCATAAATGTGTGCCCTGGAGACTTCCCAAGCACATGCTCTGCTGGCTCTTTATTCCCCCTTCTCCTTCTTAATTATTTTAAGATTTATTTATTTATTTGAGGCTGGGGAGGGGCAGCGGGAGAGGGAGAGAGAGCCTCAAGCAGACTCCACACTGAGCATGGAGCCTGACAAGGGGCTCGATCTCACAACCCTAAGATCACAACCTGAGCTGAAACCAAGAGTCAGACACCTAACTGAATGAGCCACCCCCCTCCAGACATCTCCCTCCCTTCTCCTTCTTAATTTCTAGCTGTTGCCTCACAAGAGGGGAGGGGCATTTTGTCCCAATAAACCAGGGTTCTATCTAGTAGTCTCATGTGCTGCAAACAGATAACTGATACACTTAATTATGTTGATGATATAATGATAATAATAATAACCATTATACTCTTAGACTTCCAGGGAGCAATATATATATGTTTGATTCACATAAAAATTGTGTACATTGCAGATAGGATTTATATTCTTAACCTTGCTGGACCAATGAGTGCCTAAGACTCAGAAATGAGCCTCTAATCCCGGAGCTATGTGGGACCGTGGTGGCCCCTCTACAGCATTACCACTGCAACCACCTTGACAGAGCTGGCTCAGGAGAATATCACTGCTATGAGGGATGTCCCTGCTTCCCTCTGTCCCCCAGTGCCTCCCTTGAGACCAGCCTGTTCCCCAATCCCCCACACTCATGCAAACCCACTGAGGGCCTCATCACAGAGTCACTGGAACCTGACTTCAACCCACAGGTCAAGCAAGTGGATCTGTTATATGGTAAAGTTCATTTGATTGCAGGCAAGCCAGTGATGAAAAACCAGCTGAAAAACAGTTGTGTGTCTTCAAACTGGGAGTGAGATAAATAAACATACATTTAAATAGTGCTGGGATTCTTCTTCCTCTCTCCCCATTTCCAGTCCATATAGTCAGAGTAAAGTGAGCATTAAAGTGACATGAATCCTTGGCGTTCATATAGTTCAGTAATTACAGCAGATTTTCCTTTATCTTCAAATTGTTTCTTGAGGGGTAAAATATTATTTCAAAACATCAATCTCTGATCTTTTCTAACCATTTTTTCAAACTTTCCAATAAAAGAATGAAAAGGAGAAGCCAGTACTAGTTTTGTTTGAAGAACTAATACCTGTTTTCCAACCTGCCTTTCCCTATTAAACATTAATGGACACACCTCGATAACCTTGACCTCCTAATGCAGTGAGGAAACAAACAAGCAGAATCAACATGCCTGGGCTGATAATTAACTAATGATTACAAAGGACTGGGATTTGAGAAATCTTTTCATTTTCACTTGCTAATAATGATTTTACTCAGACTTACAGTTAAAATCCTCAGGGGGAAAAAATCTATCTCATGTGGAAAGAGAGCAGATGCAGGGGGCACTTGATTAAATTGTGTTTCTGATGCATCAGGACCCCCACTCTCCGCTATCAGAAAGAGGAGGATGGTGGCCCAAGGAACCACGGTGAACAGTGTTTCAGACTGATCCACGATGAGATTGTTCATAACAACTATGATGATAATAAGGTCTTGGCTCTTTCCTTCAGTAAGAATTTATGGATCACCTACTATGTCCCCAATAGTAAGATCTGCAAAGATTCTTCTAGTTTTAAATGGGGTCAAAAAATTCTGGCCTTTAATAAATATATATTTACATCTTTTTTCGTTAGCATGATTTAATTGCACTTGATCACTGTCAGGTTTTAGGAGACCAAATCCCAGACATAACCTGACTTTTAAGCAACCCCTCGGAGGAAATAGATATCTGGTTTCATCACGCAGGAAGTTCCTTATTCACCTCATGAAGTGTGAGGTCCCCAAGACACTAAAAATGCCATTCAGTTCATCTACCTCTGATTCATATAAATCCATCTCAGAAACATATCTCTTGTATATAAAACTGAATTCCCTTGGATTTTTTAGTTTGTTTTTTATTGTCATGCCCTTAAATGCCTATGGGACCCTGGTCATGGCCAGTCAAACATTTTCAGACTGTAAATGCCTCTTGGCATATGCTCTCACCAAAACTACTTTCCAGGTCATAAATTTCAGACCCCAGGCTTGGTTCAACCTAGGATGACAGCTGCAGAACTATGTAGAGCCCAGACTTGCAGTGGTCGCCCTAAATAGGTTAGGCCTTTGCAGGGGGCTTAGAAGAAAGAAAAAGTGGTCAAATGTTGCGCTTTCCAAGAAAGAGGAAGGAGGAAAAAAGGGTGACAAGAGCGCCTTCTTTCAGAGCACTCTTCGATGTCTGGTGCTAGGGGCTGCCTTCTTCCACCACCTGAGGATAAAACAGGCTGCCACCTCTCTGCTACGTCAGATGCCTTCCCTGTCTGCCACCACCACCGCCATGAAGCTCACTAACACAACCATCACCTAGGCTACCACCTCACAACCTCTGCCATTGCCAACACCACTGCCAACCCTACAAACACCACAACCATCACTCTCACCACCTTTGTCACCGCCTCCCCCACCACCAAGGCCACTGTCACCATCATCGTGACCATTGTGAGCACTGATGAGGTTCTTTCTGTAAGCCAGGTCTGGTATCAGTGGCTTTCTATGAATTTTATCTCGATTAATTCCTGTAAAACCCTATGCCACAGCTATATATGAAGCACAAAATGTAGCCTCATTTTACACATAAGGAAACCGTGACTTTGAGATACTAAGTTACTCCAACAAAGTCAAGGATCTTCTAAGTGGCTTGTCATGTGTGACAGGATCCCTTTGTTCTGCCTCTCTCTGCCTCTCTGCCCTTCCTCCAGTGGAACACGTCTTTAACCTGCTAACTTACGGGGTTAAGGTTCCTTAGCAAATTAAGAAAAAGTAAGAAAGACAGAGAGGAAAGAAGGAATAAAGAAAAAAAGAAGAAAAGAAGGAAACAAAACCTTTTCTTCTACAGTAAAGTTTCAATGGCAATTTTCCGATTCAAGAGAAAGTTTATTTACTCTAAAATGTAACTGGTTGAGGCCATATGCCACCTCCTGCACCAATATAGATCTCTCAGCAGCTTTATCCAGGAGAAGGTGGAGGGGGGTAGCACAAGGGTATTAAATGCATGAAAGGAACAGAGTGGGATAGAGGGGTGCAAAGGAGAGACTCGGTGCAAAGAAGAGAAGCTAGGCCCCCTGGTGGACAGTTTCCTTTGCATGCCCAGCCTACTACTTCAGGTCCTGTGATGTCACTTAGGAAGGGGGCCAGTAGATTTCCAGAGCTAATATGATTATTTGGAGGTAGAACTCAAGAACAGACCTTATGCCAAGGTAGAATAAGGCTGATACAGAATTTACCAAATCCTAAATCTCTTGGGGCAGGCCCCACTCACAGACACAGAGACATAACAAACACCTCTGTGCTGTAGGCCCAGACCTCCTCTCAGTCTGGAGGTGAGAGGGTAGCTAGGAAGAGGAACCTTCCATCACCCGACTCCCTCAAGACAACTTCCTTGTAACATGACATGAAAACCAACCACTGTTAGCTGGTTTCATACAACTACAACAAGCAAGAAGTTGAGCTGATGGTCAGCTTCCCTACTCATCACTACTGAAAAGAGCTGTTGATGAGCTCTTCACATCTGTTTCCAGCCCCCAACACCTTCCCTTCTTCATCACACTGTGAGAATCACTGTTCTGAAGCCTGGAAATGGTGAACATTGGAAGTTTCTCTCCAATCTGATCCCAGACTATCATTTCAACCTCCCTCCCTGGATACCACCTGATTCAAGTTGGCGGCCAGTACCCTCCTCTAGGCTCCCAGAGAGCTTGTGTTACTCTACCACAGCACGTCTCACACACCATTACCCTTCAGTACTTGCCATCCCAGCCCCACACGTTCAAGACTGTGCTCCACACAGGCTGGAAATGTCCTTCACTTTTATTTTCTCTGCCCTAGTAAGGCTGGTCAGGGGTGGGATTCCCTGATGGTTTGGAGAACGAATGAACAAAATGAGATTTTAAAACCTCTGGTTATATGAGTTATATATACCTATGTTCTTAGGCAGCCTTTGAAAATTTTTTATTCATGACCTCAAGAAGAAATATATTTTATACTGTGACTCAGTACATTCATATATATAACGGAAAAGTCTAATAAACTAATACCACATGGGAAACATTCTAATATAGTATTCTATTCTATTCTGTTCTATTCTACTCCATTCCATTCCATTCCTATTTTAGCTTGGGTTTTCCAAGAAGCAGACCCTGAAACAAAGATTCAAATGCAAGTAGTTTACTTTGGAGGTGACCCTGGAAACACCAGGAAAGAGGAGAAATGAGACAGGGAAAGCAAGGCAGCCAATGAAAGTGTAGAATGTGTGCCTAACTCAGACTCATGATGCCCAAGTGGTGGGGAAACCAGTGTATTCAGTGTACTTATATACAGACACCCTCAGTCACTGGTTGAGGGCTTTGGAGGCAGGGAGCCAGGAATGGGGACACTAATTTCCTGAGACTTCTGACCCTCTAGAAGGACCAGATCAAAGCTGGCTTCAGTAGCAACAGGGAAGCCCTTGTCAAAGAAATGCAGGGGCTGGCAGGTGAAGGAGGGCTGGTGTGCACAGGAGTGTTAAGGGGAGGGAAGTTGGGTGGGATGCTGGCAGCATCCATTACACAAATTATTTTGGTTTTTAGAATGTCTGGGTCACTATCCACTAAACTGATTTCATGATCTACTAATGGACTGCAACCCATGGTTTGAAGAGCAGTGCTAGCATTCTAAGACGGTATTTCCTAAAGAGTAGTCCTTACAGTCCGTGTACTCCTGGTGGTCCATGAAATGATTTTAGGTGGTACATGAACAAGTATTTTTTAATGTTAATCCTCATTTAAAAATTGCAACCTAGTGTCTGATATCTGATCCGGAACACATAAACAACTCTCGAAACTCAGTCATAAGAAGACAAATAACCCGATTTTAAAAAAACTAGGCAAAAAATGTTCACAGATACTTCACTAAAGAAAATATGGCAAATAAGTACTTGAAAAGCTGTTCTAGTTGTTAGAGAAATGCAAATCAAGACCACAATGGTATACCACTACACACCTACTGAAATGGCTAAATTAAGAAAACTGACAATACTACATGCAGGTGAGGGTATGGAGCAACTGGAATTCTCATACTTTGTTGCTGGGCATGCAGACTGCTACAGCCACTTTAGCCACAGTTTCTAAGTGGCAGTTTCTCATTAGGCAATTGTGCTCCTGGATATTTACCTAAGAAAAAATAAAACATATTTCTACACAAAGAACTGTCTTCAAATGTTTATAGCAACTTTATTCATAATAGCAGATAAGTAGAAAAACAAAATGTCCACCAAGTGATGAATGAATAAATAAATTGTGGTATATCCCTAGAATGGAATACTACTCATCAGTAAAAAAGGAGTGAACTACTAACACATGCAACAACATGGATGGATCTCAAACGCATTACTAAATGAAAACAAATCCACTCACAAAGGATGCATAATGTATGATTTAACTTAAACAACATTCTGGAAAAGTCAAACTTATAAACAGAGAAATCAGACCAGTGGCTATAAGGGGCTGAGGACAAGGGTGAGTCAAGTGTTGACTGTAAAGGAGCATGAGATTATAATTCAGGGTGACGAAAGACTCTATTTTTATTTTGATTGCAACGTGGGATTGCATAGAATATACACTTACAAGTATCTAATGTTACTGTATGTAAATTATATCTCAATAAACCAAACTTTAAAAAAATTGTAATCGGGGCACCTGGGTGGCTCAGTCGGTTGAGCAACTGCCTTTGGCTCAGGTCATGATCCCAGGGTCCTGGGTTCGAGCCCCACATTGGGCTCCCTGCTCAGCAGAGTCCGCTTCTCTCTCTTCCTCTGCTGCTCCCCCTGCTTATGCGTGCTCGCTCTCTTCCTCTCCCTCTCTCTCTGTCAAATAAATAAAATAGAATCTTAAAAAGAAAATTGTAACCTAGGTAAAATGAGCACTTTTATGATATAGAATTTTCCTCTTTATATTTCAAATAAATATACTTGAGGGAAAAAAAAGTAAATTGATTTAAATATCAATATTGAGTATATGATACATGGGTGTGGGGGGGAGAAAATGGGAAGGTGGTGCCTGGTAGGATGGAGCTCAGGATCCTTTGCCCCAGGGATGCCCCTTTATTGCAGTCCTCCCTGTTTTGTTCCTCCAGTCTAACTGTGCTTCTCCCCCACAGAGATTCGGCTATGGAGGCTGGGTGCAGCTCCAACACCACACTAAGGTGAGCTTCTCACAAAGGGTGAATGTGCCTTAGACCAAGGACATCCTGAGCCTGAGATGTTCTTGCAGGTGGGCCTCCAGGCTCAACTCATGTCCTCTTATTGATTTTATAGTAGGCAAGGGAGCAGCACTGAGTTTCTCAAAATTACCAGAAAAATGAGGGTGACTTCAAAGAGCAGTATTAAAGAAGATAAAATTAAAATTTGAGAAGTCATTAAGAAATCTTTGTCTATTTTTTTTTCCACCCTAGAATCAATTTTAGCATTTATTGCTCTGCCTCAAGAAAGCAACCTGGGCTCTTTCCACAGGTTATTACAGTATATTAATGCCAACCAAATAAATGACACAGTTTAGGTTTGCGCGTAAGTTGGAGAAATTAAACATTGGAGACAAAGAGGAGAAAAAGCCACTTTTATTAAAGGTTGAGTCTGGTAAGAGGAAAAGCAAGAGGAGGAAGGCCTGGGGCAAAGCATTCTGCAAGTAACGAGGCCTGAGAGTGAGCTGATGTCTAGTGCTACGCAGCCATCAGATCTGACTTCACTTGCAGAGGCATCTCATGCTCTCCTGGAGTTCAGATCACATTCCTGAGCTTCCAGCTAAATGCAGACGGACCCTGTAGAACTCAGGGTCTGGGAATGCAGAGTTACCATGTGCAGGGGTAACTTGGGAGAAATGCAAACTTGGAGGTCTCACCCCAGACCTACCAACTCAGGAATTTGGAGGGTCAGGCCAGCAATCTGTTTTGACAAGCCTCTGGTGATTCTGACACTCACTCAAGTCTAAGAACCACTGGCTCATACATTCATCCACTCACTCACTGATTTATATTGACACCTATTTTGTGTCAGGCCCACCAGTCTCAACACCAGGAATAGGCTGGTGAACCAGACAGAGATTTTCGCTGCCCTCATGGTGCTCAAATTCCAGGGAGAGACAAAGAAACATGATCACAACAGAGAATGGAATGAAAAACAGTGCTGTGGTAGCGAGTGACTGGGGAAGATTCACTGGGCTGGCTGCTCAGGGAGCCAGCTAAAACTCAGAGGATGGGAAGGAAAAACCTGGACAAGTGTCCCTGGATGAGGAACAGCAGTTGCAAAGCCCACCAAGTAAAAAAGAACTGTGTTTGAGGAACAGAAAGGAAGGGAATATGGCTGAGATGTAGTGAAAGGGGGATATGGTAGGAAATAAGGCTGGGGAGGTATGCAGGGGCCAGATCATGGAGGGACTCTGGGGACACTTAGAGTGTCCCCAGCTGTGGAGTCTGGATTTTATTCTCAGCACAACATAAATTCTCTGGAGGGTCTTAATGGCTTAAAAAGACCACCTTGAATGCTCTGTGGAATATGAACAGAAACAGGTAGAGTTTAGGGAGCCAAGATAAGAGCTGGAGAGATGGGCAGAAGCCTCATTAGACAGGGCTATAGAGGATAGATTTAGGCCTTTGTACTTGATCCTAAAGGCAATGGAGAATAAATAGTTTTGGAAATCAGAATCCCTGGGGCAGCTTGCTCTCACCTTCATTAAAGAGTGCCTACTAAGTGCTGGTTTAGACACTGTCCTGCACTCTCCCCATTAAAAGTGCTAATTCCAAGCCTGGCAGTTGGTGATGTCAGTTGGCCTTAAATCTCCCCAAGGTAGAGAACATTCTGAGTGGAGCTGATTACAACGCTATCAGGAAGTCCACAGGAGTGGGCAGCCTGTGATTGGTTTTTAGATCTCGTTTGTAACCTCGATACTGGATTTGAATGCCTTTCGTTTCATTTTGTTTTCATGTCAAAAAATTGCATAAAGAGTAAATCTCCAAAAGAAAACAGGAATGAAAATATTTCATATCGGCTACCTACATATTTCCAGCAAAATTGGACAGAATTTAATAGAACAAAACAGTGACACTCTCCTTCCCTCTCTCTCAAAAACAAAACAAATGAAAATACAAGAGAACCAGATCTGTATTTTTCATAATTATAGGGGTCAGGGATTACAGTCAGGAAAAACAACATGCAAATATATATAAATAGGGAAATTAGGCTAAGCAATGAGAAAATCCAGTATTTGGGGGCTGAAATTTCTTTTTTGTTCTCCTACATTCCTTTGAACAAATATTTTGTGGCTCCCAAGACTGATATACCTTGGAGATTCCTGTCCTCTGAAAAATCTTTCTAAAACATTTCTCTGGTCTGCCCATTTGTTTCGCTTTTTAACTTTGGTTTTTCAATGCTCTTGGAATGAATTGAGGGGTATTTGTTTGCCACAGGAAAGCTTTGTTCAGAACTAAAAAAAAAGAAACACCATTTGTCCTTGGTTGAGTATTGATAAAAGTATAAGTAGTAAGCCAGTTTGTATAACTTCCTTTCAGGAGCTGTTTGGGGTGGGGAAAAAATACCTAGGAGCATTTCAGAGGGTAGACATAGGGTCCTTTTCAAATCCATGGGTCAGAAGCATCTAGAAACATCCACTGAGTGTTTTTCAGGCCCTTGAGAATACAAATACAGACACGCACACACATGCACATAAACACGTATGCATACACACATACACATCATTTCTATCCGATTAGCATTTTGCACACACTGTTCTGTGTGATCTCATCAGGTTGCTGTTCTCAAAATGATTTCCCCCATAAAGAAAAACCTACTCAGTTTTTCACCTGTGTCCCAAGCACAAGACCTTCCATCCCCATGGAGTTGGGGTGCATCATCCTCCCAGTGTGGATGTGTTCTCCATCCTGGAAGCTCCCAGAACCCCATGCTATTGGGATTTTTATGGAGGATTTATCATGTAGGCATGTTCAATTATTAACTCCATTTCTAGCCCTCCTCTACTCCCTGGAGAAGTGGTGGGGGGACTGAAAATTCCAAGCTTCTAATCATGGCATGGTCTTTCTGATGACCAGCCCCCATCCAGGAGCCATCCAGGGGTCTATTCGGAGTCATGTCAATAGAACAAAAGATGCTCCTAGTCTCTTACCCACTTAGGAATTTACAAGGGTTTTAGCAGTCCTGTGTCAGAGGATTAAAGACCAAATGTTAAAATAAGAGGTGCTCCCAGTAACCCTCAACAAAGTAGGTAAACATGGAACATACCTCAACATCATAAAAGCCATATACGAAAGACCCACAGCTAATATCATCCTCAATGGGGAAAAACTGAGAGCTTTTCCTCTATCGTCAGGAACAAGATAGGGATGTCCACTCTCACCATTACTATTTAACATAGCACTAGAAGTCTTAGCCACAGCAATCAGACAGCAAAAAGAAATAAAAGGCTTCTAAATAGGCAAGGAAGAAGTCAAAACTTCACTATCTGCAGACAACAAGATACTCCATGTAGAAAATCCAAAAAACTCCACCAAAAATTTGCTAGAATATATGAATTCAGCAAAGTCCCAGGATATAAAATCCATTTGCAGAAATCTGTTGCATTTCTATACACCAATAATGAAGCACCAGAAAAAGAAATCAAGGAATCGATCCCATTTACAATTGCACCAATAACAATAAGATACCTAGGAATAAACCTAAACAAAGAGGTAAAAGATATGTATGCTGAAAACTACAGAATACCTATGAAAGGAATTGAAGAGAACACAAAGAAATGGGAAAAAATTCCATACTCATGGATTGGAATAACAAACACTGTTAAAATGTCTATACTACCCAAAGCAATCTACACATTTAATGCAATCCCTATCAAAATACCACCAGCATTTTTCACAGAGCTAGACCAAACAATCCTCAAATTTGTATGGAACCACAAAAGACCCCAAATAGTCAAAGCAATCCTGAAAAGGAAAAGCAAAGCAGGAGGCATCACAATTCCAGACTTCAAGCTATACTGCAAAGCTGTAGTCATGAAGACTGTATGGCACTGGCACAAAAACAGACACAGAGATCAATGGAACAGAACAGAAAACCCAGAAATGAACCCATAACTATTTGGTCAACTAATCTTCAACAAAGCAGGAAAGAATATCCAATGGAAAAAAAGACAGTCTCTTCAACAAATGGTGTTGGAAAACCACATGCAGCCACATGCAGCCACATGCAGAAGAATGAAACGGGACCACTTTTTCACACCATACACAAAAATAAATTCAAAATGGATGAAAGGCCTAAATGTGAGACAGGAATTCCTAGATACATCACCAGAGGCAAGGGAAACAAAAGCAAAAATGAACTATTGGGGCTTCATCAAGATAAAAACTTTTGCACAGTGAAGGAAACAAACAACAAAACTAAAAGGCAGCCTATGGAATGGGAGGAGATATTTGCAAATGACATATCTGATAAAGGGTTAGTATCCAAAATCTACAAATATCTTAACAAACTCAACACCCCAAAAAACAAATAATCCAGTTAAGAAATGGGCAGAAGACATGAACAGACATTTCTCCAAAGACATCCAGATGACTAATAGACACATGAAAAGATGCTCATCACTCATCATCAGGGAAATGCAAATCAAAACCACAATGAGATATCATCTCACACCTGTCAGAATGGCTAAAATTAACAACACAGGAAACAACAGATGTTGGAGAGGATGCAGAGAAAGGGTAACCCTCTTGCACTGCTGGTGGGAATGCAAACTGGTGCACCCACTCTGGAAGACAGTATGAAGGGTCCTCAAAAAGTTAAAAATAGAACTACCCTACAATTCAGCAATTGCACTACTGGATCTCTACCCAAAGGATACAAAAATACAGATTTGAAGGGGTACATGAACCACGATGTTTATAGCAGCATTACCAACAATAGCCAAACTATGGAGAGAGCCCAAATGTCCATTGATTGATGAATGGATAAAGAAGATGTGGTATATATACACAATGGAATATGACTCAGCCATCAAAAATAATGAAATCTTGCCATTTGCAATGACATGGATGGAGCTAGACTGTATTATGCTAAGCAAAATAAGTCAGTCAGAGAAAGACAAATACTATATGGTTTCACTCATAGTGGAATTTAGAAAACAAAACAGATGAACATGTGGGAA